TATATATATATATATATTCGGTATAAAGTCTCACTATGCAGCTCAGACTCGTAGTGATCCTCCTGTTTGTTTGTTTGTTTGTTTTCAGCTTCCCCAGTGCTGGGATTACAGACATGCATTACCATGCCTAGTCTCATGGCTGGCTCAGTAGAGCATGTGGTGCCTGGGATCGAACCTCAGTGCTTGCCTAAGCAGGTGCTTGATCCACTGAGCTATCTCACCAGCCCTTTTTAGCTTACAGCTTGTAGATGTTCCACTCCATGGTCACCTGACTCCAAGGCAGGGCAGCATGCAGACAAGAAAGAATTCATGCTGTGGTAGGCAGGAAGCCGTGAGCTTCCTCCTTCTTTCCTTTTTTATTGCATCCAGGCCATCAGCCTATTGGTAGGTGCCACCCACATTAAGGTGGGCCTTCTTTTTTCAGTAAGTCTGTCATCCAGAGCCAATCAATAAACTAATCCACTATCACACACCATGATGCAGTTACCTGCAGAAGCTCTGTGAGTAGATGAGGCTGTAGTGGGGCTTAGAGATACCAACTGTAGCAGCAAATGTACTCTTTTTTTCTTTTTCTTTCTTTCTTTTTTTCTTTTATCATTTTTTTGCTACTAGGCCCTGCTATATCTTCCAGGCTAGTCTTAAATTTGGACTTTTGACTCAGCTTCCTGAGTCCTGAGATTGCTGGAGTGGGCCATCATACCCAGCTCCTGTAACCTTTAATTTTACCATAATTAATTTTGGTATAAGTGAAAGTTGCCATGGCAACTTTTTTTCTTCTTTCCACAATCTTAAGTCAGGCACTGCACACATCTGTAAGCTCAGTTACTCAGGAGGCTGAGGTGGGAGGATCACCACCCTCCAAATAGTAGAACCCATCTCAAAAAAAGTACATTTTCTAGGCTAGAAGTGTGACTCAGTGGTAGAATGCTTATCTAATGTGTGAAGCCTGCGTTTGATCCCTAGCACTATTAAAAAAAAAAAGTATATGTATTTTTTTAAACATTTATTTTTATTTA